TCTCTATTATTTCATTGTATGACAGTACTTTTGAGGAAAAGCAGAGTTTGTAAATATATATTACTAATTGTACAATGTCCCCAGGTCGAAGAGGAGGGCTCTAATCATTGCGTTTTACGAAACGACTCACTTTTATTCGATTAAGCGAATGAAAGCACGAAAAAAAAAAAAATAAATAAATATGATTCTTTCGAATTCTATGGTCAAAATTCAAAATTATAATCACTAATTAATCACTTAAATGATTTAATAAATAAATTGCTCAAAATAATAATTACGAATTCATTCATTTATAAAATCTTGGTAACGTATAATTTATTTATTTTTTTTTTAATCTTTAATTATTTTAAAAAATTTTCAATTTAAAATTTCACCTATTTGTATTTCTTATTTATAAGTTTCGATTCATTTTTCAGAATCAGATTCAAATCGATCCTCTAATTATTTTGAGCAGTTCCAAATTGCTTGGTGGAAATTACTAAAAGTTTTATATCGAAAAATCATTGGGCCCTTTTTTTCGAACGAACTAACGCACTTTTATAATATTGTACCTATGTTAAAATAAAAGACCTACCATCAAGGAAGGTCTATAAGGATTGTAAGTAACGAAGTTCTAGATAAATAAGTAATTTTAGGGATTGCGTCGTAGAAATTATCGAAGGAGATACAGGACTGCTTATAAAGCAATTCCATAAATTATAGTATTTAGTGAATTATTGGTCCAGTGCCATTTGTAAGTAAATATTTTCATGTTTTTTTTTTTTTTNTTTTTTTTTTTTTTTCTTTTCTTTTCTTTTCTTTCTTTAAATTAATCGTTTTAATGGACTGTTGTACTTTTTTCACGGTTACGTAGCTCCTTATAATTTTATTACGCTCCTTAGGTAATATTCTGCGAACGAAACGAAAATTCGGAGCTTCCATTTTAATCAAAACGCCTGGAAGCGTCTTCCTGATCCTTGCGGGAATATATCCTGATCTATATCCGATTGTTCGGTTGTACATAAGCTTACGAATTTAAATCGTAAAAAATTTGAAGAAAAAAAAAAAGAAACGAAATTATTTTCCTGCGTTACGTTTCAGAACGTATTAATGAATTTAATTTTCATCGAATCCTTCCTTGATCATTCAGGAATTAAGGGTCGAGGTTTCAGGGTCATTCTGTAATCGAAAATTCTGTGTAATTACATAAAGAAGAATCATTGAAATAAAACTGGAAGAGAAATATACGAATTTTTTCAACAATAAAAAAAAATGAAGACGATCAGTGTCCTTAAAACATTCGACCCTTCTGCGTTGATTCCGAAGGACTGACGGCTTAATGAATATGCGAATTCACTCAGTGATTAATCTTTATCTGGAAGAAAATGGAAAAACAACTTTCCTCATAACAGTATTTTATAATACAAATGATAATACAATGATATCCAGATAAGGATTAAACAGGCGTATCGAGACAAATATACGTAAAAAAACTTTGTATAAGTATATATTCTATAAGTCTTATAACGTGTACAGATTTTTCGTCCGTGCTCGAAGGAAAGACGAAGGGTTTTTTTGTACAAAACTTTCCTCATTAACTGCGAACACGCAAAAGAAAAACGAACTTTTGCGATTCTCTTCCTTTTTTCCAATTCGTGTTCTTTTTTTTCTTTCTCTCCTTTTGATAACAATATTTGTCGTCTAGCCAAAAGAGAACGAACAAGCGAAAAAAAAAAAATAGAAAATAGAAAAAAATTAAAGGAAAAGGAAAATATACGAGTACACGGTATACGGTACTGACTACTATTATACATTAATAGTAGAAACATATTCATAAAGATTTAAAAGAAAAAGTGGTAAAGAGAAAAGGAAGGAAATCATGAATAGAACTTAAGTATAGCGTGCAATTTTACAAAGTTTCTTAATTAAAAAAAGAAAAAAGGAAACGATAAATGGAAGGAAAAACAAGGAAATATGCAGTCCTATCGCGATATAGATTAATTTTTACATGACACCATGTTGTATGGGCAATAATGCTGATCATACGAATTTTTGATAATAAAACACGTTCCTATTAAATTATCTGTTCATTGTCGTATTGTTAAGTCTTCTGAAGTAGGGCGATTAGAAAAAAAAAAGAAAAAAAAGAGACAATGGTCTGAAGATATAAAGTGAGTTCGAAGAAGATGCAAGAGAAGAATGGAAAATGGCCTCTTTGTAAAATAATAAGAAGACATCCTACTTTGAAGAGGAAAAAAATAAAAAATAATGATAATAATACAGGAAACAAGAAAATAAAACGAGAAGATAGGAGAAAAGATAATAAAGTAAAAAAATCTTGTAATTTTCTATCATAACGACAAGAAAACTAAAAAAGGAACATTGGTAAACGCGAATCTAACGATGTGAGACTGTATATTTAACGTAATAATTTATTTTCAGGGTATCTATTGAGATATTTTTTCATTTACCACTGTAAAAAAATTTTTGAAAATCTACGCACTTTCTAATAAGCTAAACTAATAGTAGGAGTGTAAAATTATATATAAAATTGTAAGATGACGATGATTATGATTATGAAGAAAGATGAAATTATTATAATATTATTTTCGTCCTTTTCACGGAGGATCGATGATTCATTGGCATTCTCAGTGTCGAACTTGTAAGAATACCAAAAACATTTTGTTTTATGAATATTGTAAATGATTGAAATTTGTAATGATGAACAAATAATCTAGTATTCTTATTATTGTCCGTCACGTGAGTATGCCGAAAACGAAGGATAGTTAAAAAAGAAGAAAACAAAATTACTTTTATCATGTAACATGTTATAGAAGCGAATTGTATTACGCGATGCGCTCTTTTAAAATTAAGTTTCAATCTTTTGTTTTCCTTTAACATCGACTTTCTCGAGTTTTTGATTTTGAGAGTCTGTCGATTAAAACTTCTAAAGAAAAAATTTAATATATATTTTAATTTTTGAAAGATGTGTTAAAAAAAATCATTTATAAAATAAAAATAAACAATAAATAATAAAATAATGTGTAGTGGTGAACCACTATGAAGAAATTCATAATACACGTGTGAACACAACACAGTATTCATGTCACACGCGTAAACATCGTTTTGTATGAAAAAATAGTCATAAAGGAAAAAAAGATTGTCACTTTAGATTAGTCTGCTGTCAATATAACTAGAATTATAATTTTGAATGTAATATGTATCATATTGATTATTGCCTAGATAAGGAAATCGTACCGATAAAGTTAGCGCACGATTATATCAGACTTTAGGTATAATAATAAATGATGTCCACGGGACATTTTCATTTTTGAAGATTTACGTCAATTTTATTTAGTACATGTACGTATGTAAATTTAATACGCCTGAACATCAATAATCTTTATTCAAACAAAATAATTTTTATATATTTTTGATATCAAAAATTTTATTTATTCATTAATTTTTGTAATGTTCAGATACCTTTTTTCAAATTATTAGATATATATTTATATTTTTGATATTAAACTTCTATAACTTTTATAATGAACATTTCCTATATATAGTTACAAATAATTAAAACATTTAATTGATAATTTAACAAAAAGATTAGTAAAAAGTCAGAAAATTTATGAAAATTAAAGTTTAAAATTCGTAGATAAGAGTGCACATGCGCAAACATTTCGATGAAAGACGTTACTCTAGACATTAGTCTTTCACGGAAAGTGAATTTAGTTACACCCGTGCCACAGTCAAATAAACATGGCGTCATAGAGATCATTGAGTTGTGTTTAGTGATTAAATGTTTGAGATTTGTGTAATACAACAATTTTCTAATTTTCATCTCATTTTACGATCGCATCGACATATTCCTAAGAATGTTATCCAACTACAACTAAAATTTCATTGAAAATTCTACATCAAAGGTAAGTCATCTGACAAGATACATATCTTCTAATATAAAATTGCTATGTTTTATAGTCGATAGTAGATAATAGGAAAGTAGCAACTATCAATATTATAAGCAAATAAAAATCATATTTTTAGTTTATTACTTATATTAATTATTATACTGTGATAGAATATAATTGTTTGTGATACAGTATGGAAATTATTTCATGCGGCATTTAGTTTAATATCGCAACTAAATGACGGAATTTCTCAAAAGATTTTTTATTAAATTAATAAAATTTGCATAAAAATAAAGTTATTCTTATTCTTTTTTTTATATATGTATAAAAATTTAAATTGAACAGCGATGATTTATTAAATAATAGGAATTAAATATAAAGAATAATATTCACATTTAAAAACAATAAATTTTTTTTTACTACAATAACATGAAATTAAAAATTTTCATTATTAAAATTATTATATTCTTTTAGAATATAGTTTAAAATTTCAAAAAGATAATCATATAATTTGTTTTGAATATATAATAAAATAAAAAAAATAAATATAAGAATTAGTGTAATAAATTTATTAATATCAATAAAAGCAAACTTAAAAAAGACTGTAAATATTTCTCTGCGAATTTATTATAATATTTTAATAGATACATGTTATATATTTATTTTTTTATATTTATCTCAATACAAATATAAATTTACAAAATAATAATAAGTTCGTGTACTTATCTTGCCCATATTATGTGTTATATCACGTAATATAGTCATACAATATCTATAATACTATAATACTAATAATATTTTTATATAGGTAAAAGTTTATTTAATTATATTTTAATTATATCTTGTCATTATATGATGAAAAAAATATTTTTTTTTTCTATAGTTTCCATGCCTATTATATCTATTTAAAATTTGAGTTTAAAAAGAAAATGTAACAATTTCATTTAAATATATATTCTCGATTAATTATTACTTATTTAATTTTGTTCGTGGATGAATAAAGATTTTAAATAATCAAGCAACTAAACTCAACACTTGATGATAAAAGTCATGTTATATTTTCAAATACATTAAAATACAATACATATATTAAAATACATTTTCAAAAAATTAATAAAAATAAAGCAACATTCTATTCTTTTATAGACCGGATTCATGCATATTTATATATTTTTATGTATTTGTGATATTAAAATAAAAAAAATGGAAGAGTAGGAATAGATCAATGTACGAATGGATAAACAAGGTTAGTATCCGAATCGAATGGTCGCACGTGAAAAATATTATCGTGTGGAGCGTGTTTGTTTTTATACATGCGACACCAGAGCTTCAGTGTCGCAAAATAAACGATTTCCACCAAAGAAAGGAAACTAAAGCCCATGCAGAGACCCAATAAGCCACCTGTACTAGCTGTATATAAACATATAAATACACATATAATTGAGATTTTTGATTTTTTCATTTTTAACTATTTTATAATTGTAAATCATATTTTTTGCAAAAATGATTTCAATATTTCAAAATTTTAAATATTATTGATATATGCTTTATAATTGTTTTTCTTGCGTTATATATAAATATATATATATATATTTAAATATAATTTTTAAATGTTCGATTAAATAAATACTTGAATTAATTGTCTAATTAATTAATCTATATTTTTATTATATATTTATCTTTATAAAATATTGAAGACAAAATGAAACAAAATTTATAATCCATATCTTTTATAACATATTTATTAATAAACTTTTTTCTATATTTATCTATGGAATAGTTGAAAGATATAAAAATTTATAATAAATTTATAAAGTCCGTCAAATCAATATTTCAATTTATAGCAAGAGATATCTATATCTATATTTATATGAATCAAGGGAGAATTAAATAGGAAAATGAAAGAATAGATAAGCCCTCTATTAACTGATGTTAAAACCATTTGGTTATATTACTTTAATTATTTTAGTATCATATTTAATTGGAAATTTCATTAATGTAAATCATAATATAATAAAAAAAGATCAAAATTTACTTACATAGAAATTCTGTGAAACCAATAAATTCATTCTTTATATATTTAGTGAATTGAGAGTCGACGAAGTACAGGTGAACCACCGCCATGTTTTTACTAATAAAAAAAACCAATTCAATCATTATCGATATCTAATTATTAATATACGACTAATAATTATCATCGTTCATTCTATATGTATTGTAAATATATAAATGATTATAAATGATAATTGTTAAATTAAAATAAAAAGTAGAATTACGCGAAATATTCTTTGCTTTTTTTTATGTAAATATCAGGAATTATAAGATCGGACATCAATTTGCTCTGTGAGATTTCTACATTATAACCAATTTCGAAGCATCCTGGGTAACAGTTGCAACTTGGTCTATGAAAGATAATAATATAACTTTAACTTTTATTGTGACAAAATTTTTTGTTAGAAACTACATTAGTTAACAACTTACATTTCAGAAATATTTGTAGAATTTATGCTGAAGTCCTCATCGTAAAGTTTAATTTCCATTATCTTCCGAGCTTTCGTTGCACAAATATCATCTTTCTTTTCACAGATAGGTGTATTGGAGGATTCTAGGAACAAATACCAAATCTGATCTAAATCTAAATTTAGAATAGAACGAATTCTATTTTGACTTTTAGATAATGAAAAATTATACGAAAGAATGTATATATATATTATACTAATATATAAGAAAATAATAACAATATTATTAATTAATTAAAACAATATTATTAATATTATATATATATATTTCTGTAAAAAAAAGTTTAAAAATTACTAGGCATGTAATATTGAACGCATTGACAGATTTTCTGCGTAAAATTTGCTTCACATTCAAGTACGCAATTCTTCTGTGTGTAGGTTCTATAATAACGTAGTTTTCTTTCAAATGTAAAGAAACACTTCCTCTTTTTCAAGGGAATAGAAATTATTGACTTGCTAGCAGTCATTATCCGAGGTGTTATGATCACCCTAGTCTCTTCACCTGGGGTTACAGTGAATGCAAATTCAGCAATTTTTGGTGTCTCGACTGGATTATGCAATAGCATCTGTAAAAATATATTTCAATTTTTTTTCAACTTATTTTAATTATATATAATATGATCGATTTAATATTTTATAAATATCACATAAACTTTATATTTTTTGAAAATTAAATTGAATTTAATTATTAATTACATTGTTATAATGAGTATGATTATTTTCGATAGATTTTATAATAAAAATACATATACGAAAATTAAATAACTAAAAAATGTCTTCATTGATTTTAGTGACTTTAAAATATATTATAATGTTATTATATGTTATATTATTTTAAAAAATGTTTTCCTCTACAAATATTCAGCAATATATTATTATAAATAATAGCATTTTCATTTAATCTATATCCATTTATTGAAAATTAGCACTTTATTTTCTTTAAATATTTATTGGATTTTTTTGATTAAATAAGAAATATGACTATTTTCGATAGATTTTTTAAGACAGATTTTTCTATAAACAAAATAATAAAAAAACTTTTAAATATAAATGATCTTAAAAAAAGAAATGTTTATATATTTTTTTAAAATTTATTTTATATAAATTTTATGAAAAACTTTGTCATGATAACGTATAAGCAATTTTATTTTCTATAAATATTATTAATATTATAATTAATAAATTAATATTATACTAAATTAATATTATATTAAAATTTATTATTATAATTTTCATGTGTGATTATTGTTGTATACAAAATGTATTGAAATACAATATCCTTTACGACTTCGTTCTAAATTGTATGTTTATTTTTAAGTTGTATACTTTTATGTAAATATTATAAGTATTTAGAATAATAGGCTTTCTTATATTAAATCATAATATAAAACTTATCTAAACAGTCAGTCTCAAGTATAATGTGAAGAATATTTTTGTATATAAATTAATAGCAAATCAATTGCTCTACATATTTAGAAAAAAGTTATCAAAAAGATGTTTTTAACACATTTCAAAATCAATAAAATCAATTAAAAAATATTTTTTTAACAAATTTACTTGAAGATATCTATTTCTAAAATTTTAAATTAATTTTAATTAAGATTTTGAATTGTAAATTTTTGTTCTAATTATTGGATATATAATTGGTTAATTATAATTATAATTATAATTATTAATTATCTGTAATATAATCCAATTAATTTCATAATCTGAAATCCAGTTGTACCTTGAAACCAACACTAGTAGTGGATGAACAATAATATTCATCGATGTCTACATCGAGAACCAAAGTCAGACCATACAATTGTCCAGCGTTATAGGGCCTCCATGGTATAGAATCTGACGATACATTTGCATCGTATCCGATTTCAGGATTCCAATCAATGCTGTTAAATGGGAACGTCATGTTGAGGTCGGACCAATCTCGTCTAACGATAAAATTGAATTTATAAAAACATCAAGAATTATTTAAAATATCTTTATAATGAATAATGAAAATTTTAAAATATAATAAATAAAATGATAGAAGATAAAAATTTTGATTGATTGAAATGAATATATAAAAAAAGAAATTATAAAAATGATAAAAAAAATTGTTTATTTTTGATTGAAAAGTTATTTCTAAAATTTACATACGGATTATAAAATAGATATTTTCTATGAACTGAATTGAAATTGCAACATAATCCTTCATCTGTCAAAGTAGGATTAAATATTTTCTCGCAATCAGTGACGTTTCCATGCCATTTGCATAAATGCAACATTTCTGAACAGGATTGTGTCACCTATTGAAAATATTTTTATATGCATATCATTTTTTATAGTAGTTACTAAATTTACTTGAATCTTTATTTAAATTATATACATTGATCATGAAATGCAGAATATTGTCCCAAGTTATCGCGCTCTCATCGAAATCGAAAATCATCGAACTATTTTCAAATTTGCACATATCCTCCAATAATAGTTTCTTTCGTGTAATATTTCTATAATAGAATAATTTGTTATATATCTTTCATTTTTTTAAATCGAGCTTTAATAAAAAATTAATAAAAAAATATTAAAAATTTTATTAATTAAATATTTTTTAATAATTTATTATATAATTATAATTTTTTATTAATTATTTGAAAACTTACCCAGAATTTATACGAATTGCCTCATCTTTTTTCGCGTTATTCATATTACAAATGGTAACCGAAGGGAACGGAAATTCGTTCAATAACATTGGTTCTGGGCTAAGAGCAATGATAATGGGCGATGATCCCCATTTTTGATATAAGTACCAAATATAATAAGCGGCAGTTAAAACTGCTAGAGTAAACGAAATTATCCAGAAAATTCTGTGAAAATCACTCAGCTATTGTAAAAAGTTTTAATTATATGAAATATAAAAAAATTTTAAAAGATAAAACACATAATGAAAATTTTTATTTGAAAAAATTATATTTAAAAAAATTTTATTTGAAAAAAAATATCTACAAGTAAAAATATTATACGATTGTAAATAAATCTTGAGTTTAAAATATAAAATAAATATAAAATTCGAAAGATTCTAATATTTAATCAGTTATTATATATAACAATTTTTATAAAATTATAAATTTTTTATGAAATTATAATTGATTAAAAATGAAAATTACCTCTCAACAATTGTCGAATTTGAATCTCCAATATAACGTAAGCCATGAAGAGTACTATTCATACAATATTGTTTCATAGCAGTTCTAATATTCTTTGAGTATTGCCTTTCAATTTTACTAAATTTAAAAAATATATTTAAATATTTTTAGTTATCTATGATATGGAAAAGATCATTATAATCATTTTAATCATAATCTATTATTACTTTGTATTTTTATCGTCATCGTGATCGTAATGTTGCGTCATAGGACTTTCCTTTCTGGAGAACGCGTTCTTGTTATACCGTGATCTTAATGTCGTATCCTTTGATCGATACATAATCTTGCAAACATTTAAATTAATATATTAAAAGAAGAGATTTATAAAAAATTTCAAACAAAAAAAAATTAATCAATTATTATTTAAATACTTATATTAAGTATTTATTCTATATTTATTCTATATGAAAAAAATAAATCGAGAATGTAGAATAAAATTTTTTCATTTGAAATTTTATTTTCAAAAAAATTTTAAATCTTTTTAAATTTAATTTTGTTATTTTTCAATTGGATACAAATAAATTATTTAAATTGAGAAGTAAATAAAAAAGTTAAAAAAGTAGTATAAAATTTTGATATTTTAAGTTCATATTTTTGAAAAAATTAAGATTGATATATATATATATAATTAAAAAAGTAGTCATCATCAAATTTAATTTTTTTGAAAAATAGTGTTTGAATGTAAAAATCTTATATATTTTTAATTTATTCTTATGTAATAATCTATTCTCATATCAAATACCACAAATCATTCATTAATCACTAATCATCAAATTATTCACTCACATATAATCGAAAATTAGCGAAATTCAATTGCAATTTAAAATTTAATTTTCTCGAAAACAAAACTAAATGAAAAAATGTTTATTAAGAAAAATTATTTATTAATTTTTCTTTGATTTATTTTATATTTATTTCATATAGAATTATTCACTTGATTGTACCATCTATATTGGAATATTCTTATAATAGAATCTTATTATTATTTTATTATTATATTTATTATAATTTAACTACTTTGATTAAATTTTTAATATAAAAAAATTATGCTATTAGCACATTAATACTTAACATCATAATTATTATAAAAATATATTAACTTAATTAGAATTAATAATGATGAAGATAATATCGAAAAACATAAGATTCATTTTTCTTAATTAATAATTGCATTAAACATTATTACCTTAAAAGAGGTTGGTCGAACTTTAAAATTTTCTTCAGTAGCGTATCCTTCCAATCTAAAAGATTGTTTATATGGATTCTGTAGATGTACAGTGTTGATAGAATAGGGTATATTAGGATTGTGATTTCTTAGATAATTCAACGTTGCTCTATCGGTTGTTTTATAAATGGTTTCGATTGATTTTATCTTGTCCTCGTCTTGTGATTTTAAATAACCCCGATAAATTTTAATAGACATTGCATCGATTTCTTTAATCGTTTGGTTGTTATTCATAATGTTTCATTATCACAAAATATTGATATATTTCTGGTTAATTTTTGATATATTTTCTGAAAATTTGTTTTAAATCTTTTTTTAATTCATTTTCGTACCAATTTTATTCACTTACTGATTTTCCATAATATTAATTTGTAAAAAATATAAGGTAGGTTTTTTTTCTTTTTAAATAATATTTCTTTCATAAAAAATTTTTGTATAGAATATTGTATTTTATACAAAAAAATAAAATTGTAATACAAAAAAATATAAAAAATGACATTTAATATAATTATAATAACTATAAAAAATTAGAATCAAAAAATTATAGAACTTTTTCTGGAAAAAATGTTTAAATCCATACCTCTTTAAAATTAAGATTCATAAGAAATAACTATTAGCTTAATATTCATATAATTAATATATTAATTTAATATTAAATATACTTTAATAATAAACTATATAAACTCACCCTATTTTATATTACGAAAAATTTCATAAAATAGAAGAAATCAAATTAAATCACAATATTTTAAAGAATCTTTCAATAATATGATGACATCCTTTGCGAAATTATTATTATTTATTTAAAATAAAAAAACTTTTAATTTTATTTTGCAGACAAAAAATAAAATTTCCACTTTTATAAATTTATTATACAAGAGAATGATCCTGTTTGCAACTATCAAGTACACTAAAAACCAATTTCGTGGTGGCGACTTTTTCGTCCTGTCATATGATGTTTTCGTTCAATTAAACCGAATGAAAGTGTGTCAACTTTGCGAAGAAAAATATGCAATGTGTTGATTCTTCTAAGCATCGAACGAAGGATGTCTATCAACCGACTGAAGACAGATACCAGTATGGACATCCTTTTAACTCGCTTGGAGAGGATCCTCACGTGTCAATGGTTGTCTGTTGTCTTTAGTTACACATCAACGTGATGACACAGATAATTTTAAACGACTATTTTATCAATTACTCTATAGAAGATCTATTTCGTTTAGTCGAAGAATGAAAAAATTCGCAGAAATCCGATTTTTATCCTTTTCCTTTTAAATTTTATTTATTAATTTCTCTTTTTTTTTATTTTATTTTTTTTTAGAATAAATATAATTTTTACAATATAATATAATAAAATATAATATTTATGATATTAATAATAATATAATATTAATATTATAATAAATTAATTATTAATTATTATATTATTTATTTAATATAATTTTTCTAATGTAAAATTATGCATGATTAAAATGAAAGAATGCAAGATTAAAATGAAATTAAAATGAAAGATGTTAGATATGCTACGATATTAAATGAAGAATATTTTTATGGTGCCTAATTGGAAATTATAAAAAAATTCGTTTAAATTTTATATTTAAATCATGATATTTTCCAAAAAAAATAATTTAATTATATTTTTAAAATTTTCATTTTTTTATTTTTTATTTTAAAAATGTAAATGTAATTAAATTCATTGAAAAATAAGTAAAATATACAAAATGATATAAAAATTTTAGTTTTAAAAAATTATAAAATTAGATTAATTGTATTTTAGATTAGAAATTAATATTAGAAATATATTTATATTATTAAAATTAAAATTATATTAATTTTATTATTATATTAATTTATATTATATTAATTTATATTAATAATAATTTCATTAATGAATTGGAAAATTGAAAAAAAATTAAAACGCATTTAACTTTAATTAAATATTAAACATTAAATATAGTAAAATATTTTATAAAATTTTAATTTTAAAAATTTGATGTCGAGAAGAATTATAGTATTAAATTAATAATAATAATAATATTAAATAGTATTAAATTAATAATAGTATTAAATTAATAATAATAATAATATTTAAAAAATAAATAACTAAAAAACAAATAAAAAAAATAAATATTAAGATTTATTTTGGCTTAAATGAATTATTCTAAATGAAATTATTTTTGAAATTTTACATAATAAATAAAGTAAAATATAAAATCATTCGTAGAATATAAAATTGCAAAGCTGATTTAGATGCGTGATTTTCAAATAAGATAAAAAAAAAAAATTTCACGAACTATCATAAACAATAATTATTTTTTATACTAATTATATATAGCACAAATATTTCATTACCAATGTAATAGAAAAAACTATTTATCAATATTAAACAATAATATATGCAATCATTCATTATTATAATTCGTAGCTTCAGATGTAAGAAAAAAAAGAAATAAGAAAAAATTATTTATATCTTTCAATATATTTTGATAATATTTAATAATCATTAGTTAAAAATTCAATTACCATTATTTATTTTTATTTGTTAAACAAATTATATTAAAATTATACTATTATACTACGAAGAAAAAAAGATTCAATATTTCACATATAAGATATCTTATAATTTAAAATTTTATTATCATTTTATTGATTTGAAATTAAAAATTTATTTTTTTAATTTATAACTTTTTATATAAATTGTCAAAAAATCATCTTATTGAGAATTAATTTTAAAAAAATACTGCATAAAAGAATTTACATTCGAACTAATTTCTTTACTGATACATTGTTATAATAATCGTGTTTTCTTGTAATCATTCATAATCGTATTGCATAGTTGAAAAATGTATGTACAGTAATTATCAACATGATTGAAGTCCTGTTATTGATTATAAACGTGCAAATGTTTGCAAAACTGGCAAACTCGTTATTAAGCAACATTTATTCGCGTTATCGCGCAAATATTAGCTTCGACATTCAAACGTAAAAACAGACATTATGAAATTTTTATGATACGTATAAAACTTAATGTTCAGGATATGTTATTCAACATGAGTGGCATATTTGAAATTACATTGACACTAGTAGTTCGATAATGGGTCATCATTGTTTATATTACATTCTTCTAACGTTAAAAAACGTTATAAGAGATGACAGTGATTGCAAAGAGCAATTTTTCAAATTGCATATGATTCTATCTAATTAATGATATATTTGCAATTATTACATATTATTCCATTATAACATTAAATATAATATACTATGATATCGAATAACATATGATGATAAAGTTTAAATAATTAAGCTATATTAATTAATTACAAAATGAAATGGATAAAAATAAAAATTAAGTCATCGCAATCATCATCGCTAACATTTTAATTTTTAATTTTGTTTCATTTTTTCATTATACGCGCATAAAATGAAATTATATTACGCATAAAATTGAAATTATATTAATTTAGAGAAAAAAAATTAATTTAATATTAAAGAACTTTTTATTTAATATTTAAAGTTATTTTATTATATTTAAAGTTTTAAAGGAGTTTTTAATATCAATATTGGATAAAAATAATTGTTTATTTTATTTAAGTTATAGAAATGTCGAAGAAAAATAGGAAACGGAAGTTAGAAGGAGATGACCAATCAATGGTCGATTGGGAACAAGAGAATATTTTCCCAGAGAAAATAAAGAATGAAATGGAAACTATGTGGGAGGTATATATTTTTTGTTATAAAATATTTAATTTAGTTATTTTAATTATTTTATAATAATTATTATTATTATATACAATATATATAATTATTATTATATATTTTTAATTAAATATTAACATTTAAACTATTTATAGATATATATATAAAATATATATAAAATATATATATATATATTTTTTCTATTTATAGATTCCACAAATATTTCATTTTCTTCATTTGGCAAAAGAAGCTTTAAACATACCCCATTTGTCTATGTATGAAATGGAACGAATGCTTTTGATACCAAGAGCTTCTAAACAATTGGCAAATATAATGACATCCTTGTTAAGGTAAAATAATATATAATTGCATTAAAATTATATTATTGATATAATTTTATTATTAATATTATATTATGTTATTAATATTATATATATATAAAATTAACTTAATATATAAATTCAAATGTTCATAAAAAAAAAATCTAAATTGTATTAAATCCAAATTATATTTAATTTTAATATTAATTATATTATAGCTATTCAATGTGATTAAATAAAATTAAATTAAATTAAAAATAATTTACATAATAATAATGCATAAGTATATAAGCAAAATAAATTAACATAAATATTTCTATAAAATAATTATTTTCAAATTAATAAAATTTTTAATTTTAGTTCTCCCATGACAAAAGCAAAATTGAGAAAAATACCACCAATGCCGTACGAATTCTGGACAAATATCCTTGCTTACAAAATGAAAAGTTGGTTCAAAATTTACGAAGCTAAACATCAAAACGCAATAAAAGTAAGCATTTATCATTTTTATATTGTAATAATGATGATCCTCTAATATTATCATTATTACTATTATTACTATTATCAATATTATCGAATTATTGTAACATATTGTATTATTTCAAATATATGTATAAATTGATTTTATATATAATAGCATTTTATATTACAATAATTAGAAATATAGTGAAAGATTTTTAGGTTTTAGAAACTATCGGCGTAGAACCGGAATTTTGGAATGTTTTTCCCGATGCTCCTCTATTGAATGGAAAAGATTTTGAAGAGCTGACTTTCAAACAAAAAGTTTGGCTTTTGAAAACAGTCTGTGATACAGTTATGGTATGAAAAAAATAAAATGCATGGTATAGTGCTTAATATACTTAATGAAATATGAATTTTAAAAATTAAAATTTTTTTTTTTATTTGTATATAAAATAAATTTATATATTGTGATTTTATTTATAAATATTATAATTTAAATATTAGCAATATCTTTATTTGTTTAATATCAAAATTTAATTTGATTAATAATTTTGTTTATTATTGCTACAAAATACAATTTTTAGCACACTAGAAAAACTGTACAAGAGGAAATAGCCAAACAACCATGGGAAAACCAGTTTGAAACTGTTCTAGGCATTGATCGTTATGGAGCAAGATATATTTATTTTCCTCAGTTTCTTAAAAGTGATTTGAGAATTTATAGACATTGTCTTGATAATAAAATTCTGTCCACAG